GCTATTATTATTATTATTATTATTATTATTATTATTATTATTATTATTCCTCCTCCTCCTCCTTCTCCTCCTCCTCCTCTTCCTCCTCTTCCTCCTCTTTCTTTTCCTCCTCCTCTTCCTCCTCCTCCTCCTTTTTCTTCTTAGTGGATTCTAGGGATTAAACTCATGTCCTTGTGTTTACAGACATTTTATTAACCAAGCTATCTCCTTAACATAAGAAACTTCTTTATTTGGAAAAAATTCAAGATACAATCCATATCAGGTGAACTTTCACAGTCCATCCAAGTCTCAGAAATACTTTCAGAAATTAGATAAAACTTTCTCCTCTCTTCTTCACGCTTGTCTTTCAAATTGTACTTTGTATGGTCACGTTAGGTTTCTAGTGTTTGTTCACTCTGTCTGTCTTTCAGATACATCATAATCACTTGCTGCAATGAGACACACTCCCATGATGTCTTCCCCCACAGCCTGGGCAGAACAGCACCTTTGGTGACTTGGCAGTTCTCCTTCATTACCTAGACAGGATGTGGCCAAATCGAAGCTCTGTCAATAGTCAGTCAATGATATTCATTAATTGTTAACTGAATGCGAAAACATGCATTATTATGGGCTGACTGGGGAGACAGGAATCACTTCAAATATTTGCTTCAGTAAAGAACTGTGTCCTGGTCCATGTGTGGCACTTCTCACTGCATCCTCATGTGATAGGAAGGACAAAGCAACTCTCTAGAGACTCTCTTCATAAGGCCACTACTATAGCTTGAATGCAAAAATGCCCCCCAACCCAAACAGGCTCATGTGTTTGACTGGTGCCTAGCTACTGGCACTGCTTTTGGGAGGTTGTGAAACTTTAGGAGACAGGGTCTCACTGGAGGAAATGCATCACCGGGGAATGGCCGGCCTTGAGAGTTGTGATCCAGTCCAGCTTCTGGTCTGTGCTCTCTGCTTTCTGATGGTCCCAGATATGGAGCCATACCACAAGCTTTACTCCAGCCTCTCTTCCATGATGGACTGGATTCCCACAAACTGAGAGCCAAAATAAACACCCTCACTTCTGTCAGGTGTTTTGCGACAGCAAGGAAAGCAAGTGGCTTTCTCATGAAGGCCCTAATCATAAAGACTCCACCCTCCAACCTCATTCCTCACGGAGGCTTCACATCCTAACACCACCCCACTGGGAGAGAAGATCCAGCCTGTGAAACTAGACCATTGCCAGCCACATGCTGCACACTCCTGTGTCTCTTCCCTGGAAAAAAGGACTCTGAAATCTAGGATAAGAACTGTTTCTAGGTTTCTTCCCACATCATCGGGGCTCCGTGGAGAATGTGAAACAAAACCTGGTAATGGGCGAATAAAAGGAAAACTAAAGGGAGAAGGATGGGAAAAAAGGGGGGCCAAGCGATGAATGAATATGTCTTCCTGTCCTGTCTCACTGCTCCATCCCTCATGGACCACGATGAGCCTCAGGACTCAGGTTAATACCCAAAGGCAGTGGGAGTTGCCTTTGCTGAGCCCTTGGCATGCAGACTCATAAACAAGGGAAATGTCCTGGCTTGGAGCTCAGGAGCAAATTCTCCCCAGCTTCAAAGGCTGTGATCCCAAGAAGTGTACACCTGGAGTCCAGCTGCAGGGAAGTAAAATCTTCTTTAAACAAATAAATGAGACCAAGAGTGAATATGAGTCTCTTCATTTATTCATCGTTTGGAAACTTTAGGCTTTTTCAGAGACACTGTTTAGACTGGACCAACCGAAAACACGATTTCATTCAAGTTGCCAGAATAATAAGACTTCCCTGGGGGTGTAACTGAAGCCTAGCTCTCAAGGTCATGTGCTACCAGGGTAGAAAAAGAAAGCAAGCAAAGACTCTAGGGACTGGGGATAACCTATAGGCCCTTCCACAAAGCATGGGGCTGTCCAAATGGCAGACACAGGCCACAGCTTGCCAATGCTTTTGTGGTACAGCCTTAGACTGTGGACAGCTCAGCTGCTTGCAATATGAGTGAGCTGGAGGGCTTTGTTCTCAGACCAATTTTTATGTCCTCTTTGGTGAACGAGGAACGTCACTGCTCAGAAGGGAAGGGTGTCTCCCAGAAGAAAGCCTGCTTTCTAATCAAGCAACCTGGGGAAGAACCAAGCATGCCAAGGTGTTCTTTTTGTCACAAATGATTTCTCAACTCTCCGAAAACTTACCTAGAAGTTGGGTGGATTATCGTAGGTAGTATTTTGGGAGCACAGGAAAAGATAAGGCTCAATTCCTTACCTGGAAGACTGTAAGTCACCCAGATAGAAATATAAATAAGGGGCTGGAGAGATGACTCAGTGGTTAAGAGCACTGGCTGCTCTTCCATAGGTCCTGAGTTCAATTCCCAGCAACCACATGGTGGCTCACAACCATCTGTAATGAGATCTGGCGCCCTCCTCTGGCATGTGGGCATACATGGAGGCAGAATGTTGTATACATAATAAATCTAAAAAAAAAATTAAAAAAAAGAAATATAAATAAATAGTTTCTTGCATTCATCAGCATCCCTTCTTCCCCCTCCAGTCCCATGCCTTAAACCTGCAGAGACCAGGAGGCACTCAGGAATGGGGTTGCCCAGCCTCCTGCACAGTACAAGCTGGCGTAACTGATGCAAATACAGAATAATCCCTTAGGCAGGGCTTGAAGCTGGGGACTTTGCTATGGCACCTCTAAAATAGAAGTCTTGCAATCATCTAAGAGGTGAGTCATGTAGGAGCAGTAGGACTGAACCCTGAATGGTGTTTTATCCAGCGTTTTCCTTTAGAGGAGATGAGAGCAAATCTGTAAGCCAAGGAGCATAGCCAGGGCCGTCAGATTTAGTTTATCTAATAATAGGTCCAAAATAAGTCAATGCCTATAGAGGAACGGAGATCACATAACTCAAACCTCTGTTTCATAGCACAGAGAATCCAGTTTATAATACTCACGCAGTTCTCTTTCTCCCCTTTGTATTTCTTTTTTTAGAAAGGTCTTTTGCATGTTGATGATGCTTCTCTATGCATTAGCTTTTTCTAAAGAGCTAGAGATTTGCCTCAGCAGTTAAAAGCAAAATGTAGTTAAAGAGAAACAGGATAATTTAAGTTAGAAAAGCTGGCTAGAAACAAGCCAAGCTAAGGCCGGGCATTCATAAGTAAGAATAAATCACTGTGTATTTATTTGGGAGCTGGATGTTGGGTCCCCAAAGAGTTAAAAAAAAAATTAAAAAGCCAACTACATACCATCATGCCCAGCTAGTTTTATATTTTTTACTATGTTGCTTATTTTATATATTGTAAATATCCTCTTCAGAATTTCCACTGCACATAGAGTTTCAAGATGTCAACAGTACCCCCTGAAATTATGACACTTCCCAAAGACAAAAGAGAATGACTTAGACAGGCGTAACATCTACAAACATCAACCATACCAGAGATCAATCATAACCGTATACCTTTGACACTTGAGGAGAACTTCAGGTTTATTTAAGCACCCTTCAGTCACCTAGCTTCAGCCCCACAAAAACCAACAAAAATAATGGGTCTCATTTTCTCACTCGTAGGGTAAAAAGATCAGTCAGTGGTTAGTCAAGATCATTTTTGGGATCCAAGTTTGAACTGTTACCCCAGCTTTATAGCTGACACAATTCAGGCCCACCTACAGAAGCAAAGAAACTTTTTATCATCACAGCCCTGCTTAATAGTGGACAAGGAGCCAAGTGAAGTGACACATGCCTTTGACCCCAGCACGTGGGAGGCAGAGGCAGGTGAATCTCTTGAGTTTGAGGCCAGCCTGGTCTATAGATTGAGTTCCAGGACAGCAAAGCTATATAGTGAGGCATGAATTCTAATTGGTTTTAATAATAAAAACTCACAGTCAGATATTGGGGTGAAAGCTAAAGGATTAGAGAAGCAGAGTGGCCAGCCACTAGAGCTCTTACCTCTACCAATGCTCAGACCAAAGGGGCGATCCTGTCCTCAGACTGCCATTCAGACTGCATCCTCAGTCTGTTCCTCAACATGCACTGAGTTCCTGTCTCTTCCTGCCTTATATTCCTCTCTCTACCCAGCCATATCACTCCTGTCTCACCTCCCTAATGCTGGAATTAAAGAAGTATGATCCGAAATTCCAGGATCACCTTTGTGTGAGCTCTGTCTCTCTTGTAGAGAAAATTTTTATATCAATTTTGTGTAGCCCAGGATGGCCTTGAACTCACAGAGATCCATCTGCTTCTGTCTCCCAAGTGCTGGGATTAAAGGTGTGTGCCACCACTGCCTGGCCTCTATGACTAACTAGTGTGGCTAGCTCTGCACTCTGATCCTCAGGCAAGCTTTATTTGTTGGATCATAAACAAAATGTCACCACAGGACCCAAAATGCTAGTCATCGGGTCTCCATAATAGGGAGTGACCCTACTCTGCTTTCACAGGATGAAGCCCATCTTGGCATATGTGTCCTTGAAAATAAGACACAAGGACACACTTCATTCAACTATTTTTATTGAGCAATAATGGTGAAGGAACCCTATTCTATACTAAAAGATAAACTGGATGGAGCTGGTATTGGGCTTTATTGCTAGAGGCAAGACTCTTACAAAGAGGAAAGAGGCAGAATCCAATGCCCTTTTAAAGTGATTGTTATTAGTATTACATGCAGAAACATGGATTTGTTTAGAACTTATACATAACTGAAAGAAGAGGGCTTTTCTTGGTATAGAATGACTAGTAAAAAATTCTCTAGTTTTGCCTGTTGTATGTGGGGGTTTATCAGTATTATTAAAATATAGAATGTTGCCAGGTGGTGGTGGTGCACGCCTTTAATCCTAGCACTTTGGAAGGCAGAGGCAGGCAGATCTCTGTGAGTTCGAGGTCAGCCTGGTCTACAGAGCAAGTCTCAGGACAGGCTCCAAAGCTACACAAAAAAGAAACTCTGTCTTGAAATACCTCCCCCCCCCAAAAAAAATATACAATGTTAATCAGGAAAATCCAGTGCAAATGCAAGACTTGTTGTTTCATCCACAATGTAGGGCTTGTTTTTATTACTACAGGAAGGGACTGTGCCCATTTTCCTTTCCTGATTTGGCTGATGAATCTCATTCTCATCTGATTCAAGTCTTGCACTAATATCTTATGTATGATAGACATTCCAGAAGCAAGAAAAATAAATTCATGGGTGCTGCGGTGCTGCCACTCAGTTTTACTAGTTTTGCAGCTTCAAGGAATTATCTTTAAAGGGTGGGTGAAGACTCCGTTTGGCAAACAGAGAAACAAATGAACAACAATCCTGAAACAGCCTTCAAACAGCAGGGCATGGTGATGCACAGCTTTAATCACAGCACTCAAGGGGCAGAGGCAGGTGGATTTCTATGAGTTCAAGGCCAGCCTGATCTATATAGCAAGTTTCAGGGCAGCCAGAGTCACATGGTGAGACCCTGTCTCAAAGAGTCTTCTAACAGCCCTTTACATTGGAAATGACTACCCAAGGGAATACACGCTTTCATATTACCTATTGTTTATATTGTTTACATGGCTCATTATAAATCTTGTTACAGAATACATATATGCATAGAGACATATATATACATATATGTGTGTATACATATTCTTAAGGTTTTCCAACATAAACTTTTAAATCTTTTAAAAAGATTTTATTACTATTTATGTATGCTTCTCTATGTGTGTGTGCATGTGTAAGCGTATATACATATATATGTGTGAATACTTGAGGAGGCCAGAAGAGGGTGTCGGATCCCCTGGAGCTGAAGTAATAGACCATTGTAAGCTGCCTGGTGTGGGTGCTGGGAACTGAACTCTGGTCCTGAGCTATCTCTCTAGATCCAACATAAACTTTTTAAAAAGAATTGAGTCCTATGAAACACTGTTAGATGTCAGGGTACAAAGGCTGAGCCTTTTCTACTCTGATCTGTAAGCCCCTGAGAGATATACCTGGGTGCAGGGAGACCTTGGAAAGTGCCAGGTGCTACCCCAGAAAGACTGTCCGAGTGGCAAAATGCCAGCAGAATGGTCATCCCAGGTCACTGGGTCAGATGCTTAGAACCTGATGCTTCTTCTGTGGCATGGCACCCAGATATTGGAAAATCAGCATCAGTGTCCTGAGTTCCCAGCATTCCCTGTGCACCTTGAACTGTCTGTCTTGAGTGTCTTAGAGGGAAGTCAGTGACAAGAGGAAAGCTGGAGAACTGAGCCCAGCCTAGAATGACAGAATTAGTTCCAGAAGACTAGCAAGGGTTACATCCACAACTGTGACGCCAGACACAGGCCACCTGGTGCTTCAGAGATCTTCTCCAGGGTTCAGAGGAAGACGTCAAAAGGACAGCCAAAAAAACCCACAGCGTAGTGTCAATCTATCTATAGCAACGACAGTGTTTCAGAGAAACAGGCAGAACTCCTTAGGGCCCAAGGCTAGTAGGCACAGCAAGGCGATAGCCAGGCAAGTCACCAGCCTATCCAGCCCCTGCTTGCAGCTCAGTTATAGGAAAGGTAGTCGATGAGCCGTGGAGGGATGTTTAACTTGGCGACTTTCTCTAGCCCTCGAACACCAGTGGCCTTCCTCAAGCTCACCCTGCAGAGCTGGGAGAGTGTAAGAGGTGTCTCTGGAAAAAAAAAAAAAAAGACAAGGAAATGTAAGAGGATAATTTCTAGAAGAAGTACATCCTGTGACTTAATGAGTGCTAAGGCAGAATGGAAGAGCCTCCCTTCCCCCTAGAATTAGGATGGATCACATGTCATCCCTGGAAAGTCGGATAGCCAGGAACCAGAGAATGAAGTCAGGTAACAAGGCTCAGGTGGCGTCCACAGGGATTCATCCTGTGGGGTTGGGTCCTTCGAGACAGGGGTCTTTTGTTTTGTTGGAGGGGATGGGATTGCTGCTTTGTTTTTGACAGTATTTGGCAAATAGATTTATCAGCAGAGAACTAATTTGTGGCTTAGAGGCTCATTAGTCATACATCCAGCCAATTGAGATATGACTGAAGGGTTTACGCAAGGAAAGGTGCTAGCAGCCTGCTCATGTTACTGTAGGCTTCTTTCCTCAGTGGGGCCACAGGCCAAGGAATACAGCAAGAGCTGGTGCTTCAGTACAAAACTGTCCCCAGAGACCGAAGTATTCCCAGTACATCCTAGCGGCCAAGGACAGGAGCTCAGGACTCAACTCAAAGCGGTCAGCATAAATTCAAGGAGAGATAGCAAACTGGGGACCCAAGGTGATTGGTGGGGGTTCCTGGCAACCGGGGTGTACTGACTGGTTTTCTGTCAACTTGTCACAAGTTAGAGTCAACAGAGAGGAAGGAGCCTCAGTTGAGGAAATGCCTTCATGAGATCCAGCTGTAAGGCATTTTCTCAATTACTAGGCAGTGAGGGAAGGCTAAGCCTATGGTAGGTGGGGCCATCACTAAGCTGGTGGCCTTGGCTTCTATAAGAAAGCAGGCTGAGCAAACCTGGGAAAGCAAACCAGTAAGCAGCTCCCCTCCATGACCTTTGCATCAGCTCCTGCCTCTAGGATCCTGCCCTGTCTGAGTTCCTGTCCTGACTTCCATTGATGATGAACAACAATATGAAAATGTAAGCCAAATAAAGCTTTTTCTCCCCAACTTGCTATTTGGACATGGTGTTTGTTCCGTCGCAGCAACAGACCCGAACTAAGACACTAGGATATGGGGATATTTGCACAGCAGAGCCTGGCTCACTTTCATAGTACTCAAAGCACTTGGCCGGGGCACTGCTGCTCCACGTGTAGTCCGAGGGCTTCTTCCCCCGGTTGTCCCGGGCGTAGATGTTGCCTCCAAACTCTATGAGCATCTCAATGAGGTCGACATTCTTTACTTTGGCCGCGTGATGAAGGGCGGTCTCGTGCAGTTTCGCAGCGTTCACATTGGCCCCTGGGGTGGGGGTGGGGGGTGGACAGAGCAGAAAATATCCATCACCAAAGGGAGGACGCAGAACCCACGAAGAAAACTGACCTACAAATCATTCTTTGGCGGAGCACCAAAGCAACCCCCGCCCAGAAAACAAAATCAAGACGCACTCTTCCGAGCCTTCTCAAAATCCAAGAGGAATAATTATTTTTCCTTATGAAAGTGAGGGCAGCAATAAGTGTACATAAAGCAAAATAAAAGGTTTCTAATGTGTCAAATGTCTGTTCTGATGTGTCCTAGAGTCTGTCCTCACGGGTCCCCAGATTTCTAGAGGATCATCCTGAGTCGCCCAAATGCTGCAGCTTTCTACAGACACACCACGTGACACAGCTGTTCTGCCACAGGAAACACATTATGTGTTTGGAGGCTCGCTGTGAGCTCAGCTCCACCCTCCTTATCTTTCTGGGGGCCTACAGAAAGCTCCAAAGAATTAGTAACTAAATACATCATTTTGAAATGCATTAAAAAAATAAAGACTTAGCCTGGCAAGATGGCTCAGCTCAAGCCTGGTGAGCTGAACCCAATCCCCAGAACCCACAAAAAGAGGGAAGGAGAGAACCAACTCCACAAAACTGTCCTCTGATAACACAAATGCACCAAGGCATGCACACCTGAGCTCACATGCTTAACAGTCATGAGAAATAAAAGTTTAAGATAAATGTTTGAAAGTTAAAAATTATGATGACAGAGTGGTCTCTGTGAAACAACCTTCTTGACCCACTGGTTCTATATAAATGGATTTTCTAAGGCCTCAGAATTTGTTTGGTAGAAGAAGTTAACTTCTTTGAAGTTTCCTGAGTCAGTAAAGAACAATAGCTAACAATTCACTGGAAAAGAATTAAAGTATTTTAGAGAAACTAAGCAAATTTCTTAGCATCGATAAATTCCCTAAATTATAGATTCAAACCACAATTGTAAATTCATAGCTAAGTTAGCAACATGCCACTGCTTAGTGCTGTTTCTCCTTGAAACACTGCTGGAAAAGCCCTGCTTTCTGCTTTAAAATCTGTTTAATCCTCTGGAATTAAGGGCTGTATTTATCACAATGGCAACGGGGTAATCCTGAGAGTACTCTTTCCACTCCCCCTCACAAAATCCAGAAAGCTCGGGCCAGGAGGGACTGACTGCTGACTCCTCAAAGGAGAAGGTTGAGTCACACATATAATTTATGGCATGAAATTTTGTAATTGCCCCACAAACCAATCCCTCTCTTCCCTCAGATGGTTTTCTTTCAATATTTCCTTATAGGAGTAAATAATTTTTAGACTGTTGTAACCATTGTGCAAAAATAAATTTTAATACTAGATACACAATTTGTAATGGCCCAAATTGTAAAGACCACAGAGTCTAGAGTCCAGGTGGCTTTCTCCTATTGATTCTTGCAATATTCTTGCCAACCAGGAAGGAACGTGATCATCTCGATTTTAACTGTGCAGAAAAAGACGTCACAAAAGCAAAATACCCTCAAGGTCAGAGAGAAAGAGGAAGCAGGAAAGATCTGGAACAGACACCCCTCCTTCCTGGCTGTTAGCTACCTTGGCTCCTGAGATAAGGCCTTGGACCCTGAGTGACTCTTTCAAACTGGCCTTTCCAAAGTAAACAATGAGATTTTTCCATAATGTGTATTATTTGATTGGGTAGAAAGGAAGGAGGCTAAAAGAAGGAAGCCGGCTGGAAACATCAGACCAAGCGTGTGCACGGCAATCTCTATGGGCTCAAGTTAGTGCTCAATGAAAGCAGAAACAGCGAGAGGTGATGAACACTGGCAGATTTTTGTTAGAAAGCTGAAGCGGGAAGGAGAGGGGGCGGGGGGGGGGGGGGGAATGTCAAAAGGGAGAGGCTTTGTGGCACAATGAGCATTTCACGTCTTGACCACGTGGAGGAGGTGGTAAAGCGCCTTCTAGGCCCTAAGAACTGTCAATTTCATGCTTGGAGAAAGGGTTCAAAGCTGGCTCCCTAGCAAAATCCTAACTTCAAAAACAACAAAGGATTAATGTGATTTGGAGTAAAACAGAGAGCAGTGAAGTGAGGGCTGCCCAGCATCCTTGCGCACAGCTGCGAACAGCCCCAGCCCTGGACAGCGGCACAAATTACTCAACACACGGTAACATGGGCTCTGCCAAGGAGACGGAAGCGCAAATAATCCTTAACTACCCACTTCTGGGCGTTCCCCTTAGAGTTAAATATCTACTGTTAGTGATCAGATGGAACGTTACTTAACCGTAATAACTGGACTCTGACCCTCACCAGTTCTCATCCTCTGCAAACAGAACCTAGTTCCTTAACTCAGCCTCTCTCCCTACAAGAGAAAAGGCACAACTGTCTCTTGGTTCACTGTGGAGTGCAGTACATCCTCTCCATACATGGCTCAGCTCCTCCACCGGAGTCAGGACCTTTGTTGCCACTGCAGAAGCACCTACTGCACTTTTTCTGGAGATGTGGAATGGAGCTCTCCTTAGGTCCACAACAGGCCTCCGCAGTATAGAAACGCATTGCTTTTATAAGACTCTATGTGTGAGTACCTAGGACTATGCTACCTCACTCTGCTTCTATGAGGGTTGGAAATACTTCACAAGGAGAAAGCAGATCAAATAGAAAAAAATGTAAAAAAAAAAAAAAAAAACAATTCTGTAGAGGGAGCCCATGAGAATTAAAGTGGTATCTGGTCTGCCTCTTCCTGGCTCCTCCCGTCTTCAGTTCCTGTTTGGACAAGGCTCGGGACCCTCTTTTCTGCTTTCATGGTACATTCTGCCCCAGACTGCATCTACCCTTAGTGCTTAACTTCCTCTGTGGAAAAAGGAGATGCCCCCTACCCCAAATTCTACTCATCCTCGAGGTATAGAAATTTCCCTTTAAAAAAGTGTTGGGAGTTGGGGTGGGGTGAGCAAACAGACCTCCCCTCAACTCCAGGGTGGGCTCTGACTGCTCCAATCCCTTTTACTCTGTCATAGTAATTGGTTCAAGTCACCCAATCCGAAGCTGACAAAGCTGGACTCCAGGGATCAGGTTTGGACACAAGACCTCGTTTAAGCCAATGAAGCATTGGGGGAGGTAAGCTAGTGACACCAGGAAAGGAGAAACTCCACTCTTCTGAAAAAGCTACAAGAGAGCCTTAGGATATAAAGTGCTGAAGGGCTGAGAGATGCTGTTCTCACGACTGCCTAGAACTCCAGCTCCAGGGATACCTCTCTCTCTCTCTCTCTCTCTCTCTCTCTCTCTCTCTCTCTCTCTCTATACATACACACATGCATACACACATGCACACACACACACACACACACAGCTTGTATCAGCTGCATCCATTTATCCACTATCACAGTAGTCAGCTAACACTAAGAAAAGCAGATTTCGAAATTCAAAGGCATAGTGACACTCTGGAACCATGAGCTTAGAATGACTATACTTCTGCTACACTTCTCAAGTTTTGTCACATGAATCAAGAAATGACTTCATTGTTAACGCAGTAGTAATTGGTTTCTTCATTCCAGCGGCCATCCAGGGACTGATGGGGTCTGTATTCATGGAGTCAACGAGCCAAAGACTTAAGGATTCTGAAAGGCAAAAAAGATTTCACCTATCCCAAACATGTGCAGACCTTCTGTTCACTTCGGGAGTCTCTCTGCAGAGAGCCTTTTTAAAACACCCGCCACGAGCCAGATTATACCTGTTCTGTTCTCCTGTTTGCTGCCAACACCATTTCCCAGTACAACTCTGACTCAGATTCAGATAGCAAAACCTCATCAGGCAGACATGATGGACTGCTGCCTTTATTTGCTAAAAATAACATCCATGGATCTGAGATGGCTCATCAAGTTGGGCTACTTGCTGTACAAACAGGAGGACCTGAGTTCAGATCTCCAGGACCCACATACGGCTCTGTGGACCGTAACCATGTTCTGTGAGGGGTAGAGAGAGGAGGATCACTGAGGTTTGCTGGTTGCCAGCCTAGCTCACAGTTCAGTGAGAGAGCCTGCCTGAAGGGAATAAGGCAGAACAGAGAGAGGTAAAGCAGGACACCTAACACGCCCCTCTGGTACATGTACAATACACACACACGTACACATGCACACACACAAGCACAAATAAATGTTGACTGTATACCAGACATTATAGAAACATTATTGAGAATATTCCCAACACCTGGGAAAAAAGGTGCTATTTTTCTAGTCCTAAAGATACAGAAGCTAAGGCACAAGTTCTCTCTGAGTGGTGGGAGAACCAATTTCAAACTGTTTTCTGTCTGCTTCCACTACCCAGACCTCTGCTAGCGCAGCGCAGGTAACTCATCCACTCGGGTAAATACTAGCTTGGATAAACAGCAGCATACCTGCATTGAGCAACACTTTGACACAGTCCAAATGCTCTCGTGCACAGGCAACATGTAGAGGGGTCCCGAAATGGCAATCGTGAGCTTCCAGATTGGCCCCAACATCAATAAGAAGCCGCACACATTCAGAACTCCCTTAAAACAAAAGGGGAGGGATGGAGATGTTCATGAACACGTATACTGGAAATGGTAACCATAACAAGCAGCAGCTGAAAAGGTGGCACTGCCATGAACAGAGGGTAAACAGCCTATATCTCAACATACAAAGCAGCTGGTACCTCGGCAAGGCCCTAGAAGAATACAAAGACATCTCCCCTGTCCCCCTCAGGAGTTCTTAGTGCGCTTGGTAGTAAAAGGAAAGGGTCAGGGCCACCTCCCTTCTGTGCTGAGGACAGAAGATGTGGGAAACCACTTGGACACAGGGATCAGAAACCATCCCGATCCTCATCTCCAAGTTTCCCGGCACCGTGTCTGGAGAGCATCCAAGTTACAGAAAGTGCACATAGCTGCTGTCATCCGGCCAGTCTCTGGGAAGAAGGAACCTTTCTCTGACTTTCTCACTCTGCAAGTTGCCCTCTGGCACCTTCCTGTCTTCAGGGCAGGTTTGGATTGTGTTCCCCCCCTTCCCTCCTCTCCAGGAAGATTCTGCTACAGACTCCATCTTCTCTTTTTTCTTTTCTTTCTTTCTTTCTTTCTTTCTTTCGCGTTGTTGTTCTTTGTGTTTTTGGTTTTTGTTGTTGTTCTTTTGAGGCAGGGTTTCTCTGTGTAATAGTTTTGACTGTCCTGGAACTCACTCTGTAGACGAGGCTGGGCTTGAACTCACAGATCCGCCTGCCTCTACCACCACGGCCAATCATCCATCTCCTCATATCACTTAATTACCACCTCATTGTTGATAGCTACCTAGTAACCATCCCCATCCCTAAAACTTAACCCCACACCCACTGCTGGCCAACCTCATTAACATTACAACTACCACATAGTCCCCTTTCCCAAAGGTCCCTGCTCCTAGATAAATTCTTTTCAGGCAGTTCCATTGCTCCTAGCTGACTCTGAGTCACTTTTTACCTCATTTTTGTATCTTTCCCTCAGACCAAATCCTACTTGTAGCCACATCTTAGCAACTACATCTCCTGACGATCAAATAGCCATTATGGATAGACATCATTGAAGCTTCAACTAGGTTGTTCCCAGTGTATCAGAGACTAAAACACCAAGGCCTTTCCCAACACATGCATGTTACTGAAGGGTCCACATCCCAACAACCTGACATCATTATAATATCACTAGCATTGAGGGTTTTGACACATACCTCTCCTTTGATGGGTTTTGTTTTCTTAGAATATCATAAGAAGAAATACCCTAAAATGGAAAGTCTAATCCACCATAATTTAGAAGAAGAATATGCATCCTACCTCACAAATATTCATAAAAACTTTTTTATGATCCACAACTCAGAATTCTCTGGGCTGCACACACCATGGGATGGCACATTCCAATCTTTCTGTGGAGTCTTTGTTTTAGAAAAACCTTCTGCTTCTCTAAGGGCTCCAATGGGCCCTGACACATAGACTCACCACTCATGCAGGCCTCATGTAGCGGGGATGCTGTGTACAGAGGAGGGTTGACCTTCGCCCCATAGGATAGCAAGAGCTTCACACACTCGATGCTGCCTGAGGCACAAGCGTCACAAAGAGGGGTGCTGCCATCAATGTTGCGCGCATCCACCTCCAACAACAGAAGAAACAAACGTCAAAGGGTGAGGGAAATGAATGGAATGACGCTTGTAATCTTTCTGCAGAACCATCTTTGGAAAGACCTTGTCTTAAAATTACCAGTTTGCTGCTGTGCACCAAGTCAGGCAAGGGAGTTCAAAGAGAAAAGACGTGTGGTTTGGAGGTAGGAATGCACGCGAGTCTCATAAGTATAGACGTCTGTCCCTCATCCTCCCTTCCCTCCCAGGGCAGGCTGAAATTCGGCCTCACCAACACTACCACCCTAGGCAAATAATAAACATAGGGCAGAAAGGGAGAGCTTGAGGTTGCAAGCTGTGCAAGCTGGGGAAATGGAAATCAAGATGACTTTTAAATCTGCTTTGACTTTTTTAAAAAAAAAAGTGCTCCATACTGCTTAGCATGCCTCATCTTGTATGAAAAATCACCATCCAGGAAGAGGGCAACTCCCTAGACAGAGAAAACAAACTCAGAATTGACCGAAGTTTGGCTTCTATACACTGAAAACCGCAGAACTTGTTCCATTCCAAGCTTTGGGGAAGAGTAAATGGTGCATTGCCTTCGCTTTGCTCTCACCTGGTGAGCTCCGAGAACAGAGCGCGGTATTCGTTATAAGCACCAGCGTAGGGGCTGGCGCAGATCCTGACAGCTCTGCTAAGCAGGCCGGTAGTCTGCAGAAACCACTGGCCGCTAAAACTAACCGTAGGCAACCAGATCAGAAGTTTGTTCTATTACTTTCATTCCCCCACCCCAGCCCACCCCAGTTGTTTTGCCAGCACCTCACTTGTATGACCTGGAACCAAGAACCTACGCTAAACCTACGCTGCAACTGTTCAGCCCAAGACCAACTGCACCCTGAGAATCTGCGTCTGGTCCATAGCTGCCCTGCTCTGCCCTGACCATCTCCAAGCAGAGTTACGCTAAACCACTTCGCTAAAACTGCCCCAATCCAAAAACACTTCCCTGCTCTGGTCCACAGCAACCACCTCTTCTCCCCCTATGGCTTCCAGTTCCCTAAGCAGTTTCACTGTAATACCCCGACTAGTCACGTGTTTGCATGACCTTAGAGTCATACTTCTCACTAGTATGCTCCCGAGCCCATCCCATCCACTCCTACAGCCGCAGCAGCTAGGTAGCCATCAGCCCCACAAGGTCACCCACCTGGGCACCAGCTGCCAGCAGCAGCTGCACGCACTGGGCCTGGCCGTGCAGACTGGCAGCATGAAGGGGCGTGATGGAGTCCACGGTGACCTGATTAACACATGCTCCACTCTCAATCAGCTGCTGAAGTTGAAGGCTCTCGCCCCGCTGAGCTGCCTCATGCACAGGGGTGCGCTCCACCCAGAAACCTGCAGAGGAAACAGAGTCCTTACTAAAACCCTCCTACTGCCATCAGGACAAATGAATACATGTGAGACTCCAGGACCCAGTGGCAGCCAATATACCGTGTGTGGCTATGCAATTGATCCCGATGGTCCGATTAAAATCCATAAGCAGGGCTGGAGAGATGACTCAGTGGTTAAAAGCACATACTGCACCTGGTAGTGATGGCCCATGCCTTTAATCCCAGCACTCAGGAGACAGAGAGGCAAGCGTACCTTTGTGAGTTCAAGGCCAGCCTGATCTACAAGCCAGGGCTACACAGAAAACTCCTGACTAAAAAAACAAAAAACAAAAAAAACACATACTGCTCTTCCAGAGGACCCAGGTTCAATTCCCAGCACCCATATGGCAGCTCACAGCTGTCTGTAACTCTAGTTCCAGGGGATCCAACACACTCACAAAGACATACACACACACACATTCAGGCAAAACACCAATGCACATGAAATAAAATAATAAATTAAAAAAAAGAAAGAAGCCCAACTAGGTAGGGGGTAGAGTTCAAAGTCCTCGCCAGGGCATATAAGGATGTCTGTGCTATGTATCTGGTTCACACTATGATCCCCTCTCCCACCCCTGGCCCTTACAGACACAGCTATAGCTCACTGCTGTGCTTAGGAGTTGCACACATTTACTTCTGTATACTGTGCCTTACCAAGAAGGAAGTAGCCCATAAGTAGTAATAAACAGTTTGAGGGGATAGTGTTTTATAGTGTAGCTAACAATTTAAAGTCAGTGTGGGAGAGGAAAACCCCAAAGTAAGAGAAGTTCCATGCAACTTTAAAAGGAAAAGAACAACAAAATAAGCCTTATGTTTGTGTTGGGGTGACAGAAATCAGAAATCAGAAGCAGCAAGTGTGGTAAGCAAAAGTGGAGGTGGACGGAACAGAGGAAAAGCAGGAGGAGGAGGAAAGGGAAGAGAGATTTCAGTCCATCGAAGGGCACAATCAACAGAGTTAAAGACAATGCATAGAATGGAAGAAAATATTTGCAAATTACACATCTGATAAGAGATTAATATCAAGAATATATAAATGACTTCTACAGTTCAACAACTTAAAAACCAAATAATTCAAGTTTAAAATGGGCAAAGGGTTTTAACAGATATTTATCCAAAGAAGACATACAAATGGCCAATAAACAATGAAAAAATTGTCAACATCACTAATAATAAAGAAATGCATGCTCAAATTACAATGAGATGCTATTTCTTACTCATTTGTTGTATAGCAGTTTTTTGTTTTTTTGTTTTTTTCTGAGACAAAACATTCAATCCCGGAGGGAAGCTCATTAAGATTCTGGATGTTCTAAGGAGAGGTGAAATAGTCCATTCTACAAGAAAACATCTTAAAACCCAGGAAGCAGACGACTCAGTAGCATCAGGAAGTTCCCGAAACTGAGGAGATTCACAAAATCTCTCGCTCTCCAGACATACATAAATAGTAAGGACTGATAAGAGACCCTCTCAAACACGTGAAGCCTAGAAGACGCTGAGACCAACTGAGCTGCCTGGAAAGGACACTCTCAATGAGGCGCTGCTTTCAAGTGAACTCCAGGTTTGCAGCTTTCATGCACTATCATCCATGATGCATGCAGTGGTGCAGCTGTCTTTGAGTTATTCCTGATCTTGTACATAACCCCTCACCCATACTCCTGTAAGTAAGCCCAACAAACTCACCCGTACTCTCATAAGTAAACACAACAAAGATAGAAACAATTCAAGTGTTGACCAAGAGATGAGTGCACAAGTAAGATGTGGTATACACAACACTCATTAGCTCTACATAGGAAGAAAATATGAACACGTGTATAGGCCTTGAAAATGCTATGCTAAGTTCAAAAGTGACTCACGAAAGGACATGTGCTATATGATTCCACTCACATGGGGTACCTAAAGTAAACACGACTGCAGGGACAGAAAGCAGCCTAATGAGACTGGGGACAGTAAAGAGTTATTGTCTAAAAGGTGTATGAAGTCAATTTTTCAGGATAAAAAAAGTTCTATGGGTGAAGGATGGTGATTGTTGTGCTTAATGTGCAACGAACTTAACACCACTTCTGAACTCTGCATCTTTTGTTATATGTTCTTTACCGCAATTCAAATGTTTAGGAGGGGGCGGGAGAGATGGATCAGCTGTTAAGAGCACTGGCTATTCTTTCAGGGGACCAGAACTCAATCCTTAGCACCTACATGATGGTTCATAACCATTTATAACTCCAGTCCTGGAGGATCCAACACCCTCTTCTGGCTTCTGATGGCACTGAATATATGTGTTACATCAACACAAATGAGGACCAAACACCCACAGTCATAAAATAAAAATAAAAATTTTCTGCATTGCTGGTGGGAATGCAAGCCGGTACAACTCCTTTGGATGTCAGTGTGGCGATTTCTCAGAAAATTAGGAAACAACCTTCCTCAAGACCCAGTGATACCACTTTTGCTCAATCATGCCACAAGGACATGTGCTCAACTGTGTTCACGCAGCTTTGTTTGTCATAGCCAGAACCTGGAAACAACCTAAAAGCCCCTCGACTGAAGAATGGATTTAAAAAAAAAAAAAATGTGGTCCATTTACACAATGGAGTACTACACAACAGAAAAAAATAATGACAGCTTGAAATTTTGCAGGAAAATGGATGAAGCTAGAAAACATCATTTTGAGGGAGGTAACCCAGTCCATGAAAGACAATTATGACATGTACTCACTCATAGGTAGTTTTTAAACATAAAACAATGAAAGCCTACAAACCACAATCCCAGAGAACTTAGACAACAATGCGGACACTAAGAGAGACTTACATAGATCTAATCTACATGGGAAGTAGAAAGTAGAAAAAGACAAGATCTCCTGAGTAAATTGGGAGCATGGGGACCTTGGGGGAGGACTGAAGGGGGGAAGAGGCAGGGAGGGGAGCAGAGAAAAATGGGAGCTCAATAAATATCAATTAAAAAATAAAATAAAAATTTAAAGATTAGCTATATTAGTTACTTTTCTCATTACTATTGGAAAACACCTAACAAATGCAACTTAAGGCAAGAAAAGTTTATTTTGGCTCAGGGTAAGAGATAAAACCCATCACAGCGGGCAGGACATAGGTGCAGGAGCTTGGGGCAGCTCACACATTGTGTGCATAGTCAGGAAGAGAGAGACAAAAGCTAGTGCTCAGCTCACGGTCTCCTTTTCTCTGTTTTATTCCATCTAGAACCCCGGTCCATGGATTAGAGACAGCTACATCCCTCTGGGTCTTAGCTGTACCTCTCTTGAAAGGCTCTCACAGAAATACCCAGAGGTGTATCTCCCAGGTTATTCCAAGCCCAATTAAGCGGCCAAGAAATATTAGCCGTTACAGAAACAAAAAGCCAGAGCATGGAATCTGAGCATGGAAAGAGCTGCCACCTGCTCACTGACATCAGCAAAAGATAGCTTTAGAGCCGGGAGGGGCATCAGTCATCCAGGGTGCATCCAGACACTCCTGACCACAGGATGGCTCTACTGGGGTTACAAATTAGGGAGGAATAAGGCATTCTCTTCATAAAAACTGGTAGTGAGCACCAGGGAAGACAACAAAAAAGTAAGGGGAAGGACAGCTTGTGTGTGAGAACTTAATTATATTCCTAAGAAGAAGTGCAGAAAATACAGTTAAGGCACTGGCTGATCAGGCTTCACCACCGGCTGGTCCAACTCAATGCCAAGACCCCAGTTCTGATGGAGGGCCCCATTCCTGAATCTCAAGAATTCTCTCCTGGGGGTAGTGTTACACTGGAAATCTGAGACCCTGCACTGTTTTAGCATCTCCCTCTGGGGCTGGAGCCCAATCCTGCCATGTAACTGGTCTCCCATTACCAGCTTGCTCCCATATCCCTTCCTCCTCATCTAGCCAAATAGTAAGTTGGTCATGTGGGACCTGATCACAGTCTTCCAGTGGCTATTATCTTTTGGAAGTCAAGGTGCCTGTCTCTTTATGTGTAAAAATCTTTACTTTAACATCTGATCTGCAGGGCTGTGGAGATAACTCAGCGGTTAAAAGCACTGGCTGCTCTTCCAGAGGATCCTGGTTCAATTCCCAGGACCCACATGGCAGAGCACAACTGTCTTTAACTCCCATTCCAGCTGATCTGGCACCCTCACACAGACCTACGTGCACATAAAATAAAATAAATAATATTTTTTTTAAAAAACTTAGAGCTGCTTTTGTGTTTAAAGTATTTCTCAACCAAGTCTTTTTAAATGTTTTAATTATGAATCTCCAAATATTTTTGACAAAAGAATATATAAATGACACGCAATGTGACTTTAAAATGCACTCAGTGTTGAAGAAGAAGAAGAAGAAGAAGAAGAAGAAGAAGAAGAAGAAGAAGAAGAAGAATCCCAATCTATACATTTTTTAGAAACACACAGTGAGGTTCAAGAAAAAAAGTTTGCCTCGGTGGAAGGACTAAGGAGGTGCAGCTCTAAAAGACTGAGGAAAAGAAATGGAAAGAGAGAAAGTGAAAGTGAAAACATTGCCTAGGAGGAGAAAGAACCAGGAAGTTGCTGCACCATGAGCAACAGGAGTCCCCTTCCACAGCCCTGCTAAACACACTTGCCTAGAATGATTGATCTTTTCCTTCTCCTCCACATCACTCCCCCAGTAATTTGCTGCCTGCCTTCCCTGTTGTTAGCCATCCTACGATGCTTACACATGAGGATGCTCTCCCTTCCTTCCCAAGCCTCAGTCACAAAACACAGCAAGCTGGGGCTTCATTTCACACAGCACTGCACTCTTGTTCTGTCTTTTCTTGTCTTTTTTTGGAAGTAGTCTGAGCTGGCCTTGAACTCATCACCATCCTCCTGATATTACAAATGCATACCTCCATGCCTGGCTTATCTTTTTCATTTCTGTTGAAGAACTTTAGGAAAGGTTTTTTTTTTTCATTTGAAGTGGCAGCCTTAGTTTTCTTGTGAAGGACCTAGCTTTTCACGGGGCCCACATTACGGAGAAAAGATAAGGATGTGTGTGCTGTTTTGCTCATCAAAAGTGGATTTATTGGGGCTGGAGAGATGGCTCAGAGGTTAAGAGCATTGCCTGCTCTTCCAAAGGTTCTGAGTTCAATTCCCAGCAACCACATGGTGGCTCACAACCATCTGTAATGGGGTCTGGTGCCGTCTTCTGACCTGCAGGCATACATACAGACAGAATATTGTATACATAATAAATAAATATATTTTTAAAAAAGTGGATTTATTAGTTACTATTTTCTTTGAGATCTTTTTAAGCCTCAGATATGCTTGTCTTGCTTGTTTGGCAACAACTTCTCTTTGAATTCCTATTTCAGGGTAAGTTTTCCATTCTGACCCTTCAAAGTATGACTCTAAGCTTTGGAAAGCATCCTGAATTCTTGCTAAGAGTAGGTGGTCACATTAAAAAAGAATAATGAAGCTGGGGGTTCCCAATGACACATGGACAATCTTTTCTGGCCCTTCTCTCCAAAGGCCTCATTAAACTGAAAGGGAAACATAGCTACATAAGCAAACAAAAATGATCTAAAAAGTGGTATGCACAAATATTTTGTTTACAATACAACAGGAATATAGAAGTACAGGTCAGAATGTCACACAGGTAAAATTCCTATGGCGGGCTCCACTTTTGCTGGAACAGTGATGCTGTTTTGGATCTAACACATTCAGTTTATTCAGTTAGGCCAGAAATACAAATACCCCCAAGACAGATTTTTGGAGAAGCATAGTATTTTTTAAATGACAATGCCAAAAAAAAAAAAAAAATACAGCGTAGTGGCACAAGCCAGGTACTCGGGAAGCAGAGGCAGGTGGCCAGTTCAAGACCAGCCTGGGCTACAAAGTGAGTTCTACGACTGCCAGGGCCACACAGAAAAACTGTCTCAAAAAAAATAAAGAAAGAAAAAAATTAAAATTAAAAACAAAAAATCCAAGAACCTCAACATGTGTGCATCCACTAATTGAGAATGTGATTTTCTTTTCTACCAGCTGTGCAGAAAATATACTTGGGAGTGATGTTTTTAAAATATTTATTTAGAGACAAGGTCTTGCCATATAGCCTAGGTTGGCCAGGAACTCTACTTTCCAAGGGCTAGGGTTTCAGGTGACTTCCACCAGGCCTGGCCTGGATGCTGTGCTATCCTCTACCTGAGCAAAATAAAACGTGTGCTTTACAGGCTTCCGTAGTTAGCCACCCATTGCATATTCGCTTGTCAAATATTGACCATGCTACAAGGGTCAAAGTCTTGGACCAGCCTCGGGTGCCAAGAAAAACAGATACTCATTAAACGGTCTTATCCTTCTGAAGGTGTTTGTTTTGCAAAAATCAATTAAAATAATTTTCTGCCTTGTTATATCTGCAATTTCCTACTTGGCCAAATTAACTTAGGGTTTTTTACTTTCTTTACATTACTGTTTTTATTTATGTAAAAATGCTGGGGCGGGGTGGGGGCGGGGTGGGGGCGGGCTTTTGGTTTGTTTAACTTTGCTTTTGTTTGTTTTCTTTCCAAGCTTTCAGAATATATTTTCGTTTATTTATCATGCTATTACTTTGTAAGCAATAAAAAAAAAAAAAGATTTGCTTCTCCAAAGACTGCCCCTTCGCCTTCAAATCCATTTCATTCTAAGGCTGCCCTAAAGGTACAGAGAACACTTTTTTAGCGCCAGAAATGCCACAGGTTTGGGCCTAGTCCTCATTCTGGTGCTTACTCCCTAGTAGGGCCTGGCCATGGCAAGCTCAAGAGAGGTCTGGGTTTCAGTTTACCCTAAGGCAATGCCTGGTTCCAAGAAAGACCACCCAGGTACCAACCAGGAATGGGTTCAACCATTGTAGGTAGGATCACCTGCCAGCACACACCCATCGCTTTTCACCAGGACACTCCTAGACAAATGCCAATCAGGGGTCCTGAACCTTAGAAATCCCTCAGCCCAACCTCTGGTTTTATAAAAACCCCACCCCAACTGAGCCTGGGGCTCTCTTATCATGCCAATGCGTTGGACACAGGGAGAATCCGAGTTTGAACTTGAATAAGAATAAAGGTTCTTTGCTTTTACGTACAGGACTAGGTCTCCTAGTTCGTTTTTGGGGGGGGGGGGTGGGGGGGGGGCTCCGTGATCTGGGCATAACAGCCGCAGCTGAAGTATGGGTAGGATGCTGTGAACCACCACGCGATACACTGCACCAAGCGCCCGGAAAGTGGTGCTGAAACCGCAGTGGGCTCCTGCTGAGGCTGCCAACCAATGTGTCCAGTGCACACACGCTTCCCAGGATCTGTCACTGAACTAGGCAACGACCCCGCTTGATCCCCAAAGTGTGCGGTTCTCGGGTGGACTGGCGGTTCTGAATCCCACACCTGGTGAAACTCAGGGACGACCAGCCCCGCAGTTCACCGGTCTGGAACAAGGTGATAAAATTAAACGCCGATCCGAGATGCTCAGAATCATCCGGACCCTGCTCGAATCCCTACATCCCACTCCACCAACCGGGCACGCTGCCCATCTCCGGGATAAAGGCCACCCATAAGCTTACTCTATCCCCAAGAGCTGATACTTGGCTCCAGCCCCTGTGTGGTGCCCTTGGCCTCTGCGGCGCGAAGCACGTACCCACGTCTCCAAAAAAGCTGCAGTCCCCGGCGCACAGCTCCATGGGGCTCGCCGGCTCTGGGGCCCTATCTACTGGCCTTGTGACTCCGGGCACTGGGACTTGAGCCCAGACTTAAGCCCGGACCCAAGCCGGGAAGTGAGCCGACTCCTAGCCGGGAGAACAGGCCGCTGGGCGGGGCCTGACTGCTTCCATGGCCACCTCTGGGAGTTGTAGTTTCTGTTGATTCGCAGCTTGCAGCTTGCCACCCACACCCGTGTCACCACCAAAAGGTGTGCGCGCTTGCGCATGCAAACTGAAGTGTGCAAAATGTGCTTTCGTGTGACACGTTGCACGTGTGAATACGTGTCCATAAACAAGTCCTGCATTTAGACAAGAACCCTGGATACCTGTGTCCGCATGTAAAAGATGCGTCCGCGTGCAAAATGTTTGGTCCCTAAAACGCGAGTCCATGTGCAAAATGTGCCTAGCTGCCGAAACTGGCCTCCTGTAGTTTACACTGTTCCAGCTGAGCAAAGTATCCAGGCCCTTCATGCCTTAAAGAGGAGACTTCCAGTGAAACTGGTGATCAAAAGGCCTGATTCTTCCACTTTTTAAAATAAATCATAACTTTCAGATAGTTGAAATTCATTGACGAAAATTACGTTTTTTAGTGGACAGTTTTAATTTGGCGTCTTGATAACCGTTTTAGCAGAAGGAAGCTGGAGTGCCATGAGCAGCCTGGCAGAAATGAGAAACTGGTCTTCCCCCTGGGGAATTCAAAAACAAGCAGTATCCTCTTCTCCTCTGCTCTCCTCTCCTCTCCTCTCCTCTCCTCTCCTCTCCTCTCCTCTCCTCCTCTCCCCTCTCTTCTGTTCATTTGTCTTCTCTTAACGTTTGGTGTTTGGGGGGAATTATTGCTCTTTTTCTGCTTTGTTGCTATATCACTATGTTGTGCCAGGCCAAAATCAAACACACATTTCTCCTTCCTTGCCTCACAAGGATCAAGGACTACACAGGCATGTCCTGGCTTGCCCAGATTTGAGGTATCTTGGAGGGATAGTTTGCCTATTAGAGCACAAAACTCTCCGTGAAATGCAGAAACTGAAACAGTATGATAATATGAAATATTAGAGATAGGGCCCAAGAATCAGGTTAACTTACATGGAAGAACTTTTTGTTTAACAGAAAACATTTAACAAGTAAATAGGAAAGGAGGACTCAGTCAATAAACTCTAATGAACTCATGCTGCTCTATATGAAAAAAGATAAAAATTATTTTACATCACAAAATTAGTTCCAGATGAGTGAAACCAAGTGTGGAAAAAAAAGAGGAGCTTGGGAAATGGCTCAGTGGTTAAGAGCACTGAATGATCTTTCAGAGGTCCTGGGTTCAATTCCCCATGCATATGGTGGCCCACAACCATCTATAACTGTACCCCCATGGGATCTGATGCCCTCTTCTTAAATACAAACGTACATGTAGACAAAACAACCATCTACGGAAAGTACATAAATAAATCAATCTTTAAAATAAAAGAAAAATGTGACTATAAGAGAAAATTGCTTTGGCATCATAATAATTTCTTATACAAGGCACAAACACAGAAACGCAGAAGGGGAATTACTGGTGAATTTGACGACACTAAAATCAAAAGATCTTGAAGGACAAAAGACACCTGTAAATAAGATAAGAGTATAAACCACAGAAAGAAAGCAGCTGCAGCCATGAAGTCAGCAGCAGATGGATCCCTGATACAACCTACGTTCTCCAGAACAGCGAGAAAAAGACAAAACAACAGGGGGAAACTATGCATCAAAGCATATGAAGGGGTAATTCACAAAGAAATGAGGTTTGGTTTGCCAATGAAATGCTTTTGTATGCCTATTCATTTGGCACAAATGTTAAAGTTTGACAATAAGAAGATATAACAAAGACATTAAGAATTAATCATTTTTCTTTTTTGTTCTTGTTTTGTTTTGCTTTGCTTTTTTTTGTTTTGTTTGGTTTGCTTTGGTTTTCTGAGACAGGGTTTCTCTGCGAAACAGCCCTGGCAGTCCTGGGCTTTGTAGACCATGCTGGCCTCGAACTCACAGAGATCCACCTGCCTCTGCCTTCCAAGTGCTGAGTTTAAAAATGTGTGCAGGGGCTGGAGAGATGGCTCAGTGGTTAAGAGCATTGCCTGCTCTTCCAAAGGTCCTGAGTTCAATTCCCGGCAACCACACGGTGGCTCACAACCATCTGGAATGAGGTCTGGTGCCCTCTTCTGGCCTGCAGGCATACAAGCAAAACAGAATAATGTATACCTAATAAATAAATTTTTTATTTAAAAAAAAATGTGTGCCAATACACTCATCGAAGAACCAATTCTTATATATGACCAGTGGAAGGTAAAATTAGTATAACTACTTTGACAAAGCTGAGTCAGATTGGTTCCCAGAGTGGTCCCCAGGATGCCATTCTGGGAAAGCTTCCAGGATCCAGTTTCTCTTTCACTCTATAGCTTTAAGTCCTTCCTTTATCAGCATAATGGCTGACTTCCTGCTGTCAGAAAGGAAAACCTAATTGATCATTGACTCAATAAGTTCTTTCAGAAGGGCCACTCAGAATGGGCGAGTTCTCAAGTCCAATGTACTGGTAAATCCCTGTTGGTCATCACCATAGACAGGAACATTTCTCAGAGGTACAGGTAAGAATTGTGATTTTAAAAAGAAGTATCTCATTCCACCTCCCTTGAAGGAAGGTATTAGCAGGTTTTAGGCAAATAAGAGTGTATTGTATCTTTTTAATGATCTGAGAATTATCACTTTGAACTTTTCTCTATAAAATGGAAATACTAATCACTCAGGCATTAATGTAAGATCATAAAGTCTCTGAAATCTGTAAAATGTTCAAAATTGCTATACTAAGTTCAAGGGCTTCTTTTTGCATTCAACAAAATCAAGGTTAAAAAGTTGAATCATCCTGAATCATCCCCACCCCTTGTAAACTAATATAGAATCTTACATTCACCTCACTGGTTACACCTTTATGAAACTCTGGAAATCTTTTATTAGAATTCCACGTTTGAACTTTAGACTTTAACAGTGCAACAATCCTTGCTCTAGTTTCCTCTCTGCTTCATTCATGTCCTATCTTCCCTCTCTCTACCCCTTCCTCCCGCCTTCCCTCCATCCCTCCTCTGTCTTTCCTTTCTTAATTCCTTCTCTACAAAACTTTGTAATAAATTCAGAAATCAGGAAACGTGGGCTGGAGAGATGGCTCAGCAGATAAGAGCACTGGCTGTTCTTCCAGAGGTCCTGAGTTCAATTCCCAGCAACCACATGGTGCCTCACAACCATCTGTAATAAGATCTGATGCCCTCTTCTGGCCTGTATGGATATATGAAGGCAGAACACTGTATACATAGTAAATAAATAAAACTTAAAAAAAAAAGAAATCAGGAAACATGAGTCAACTTTGTCCTTGCATAATGTTTTTACAGCTGTATTTGAAGTGTAGCATTCACCTGAACTGTATGATAAGATTGCTAATTTCTGCCAGCAAGAACATCAGTTGGGATTTTGATTGAGGAATGTATTTTACCTATAAGTCAGCAGGAAGGCACTGTCTTCTTAACAGTGTTCAATGTTTTGACGCAAAACATGAAGTAACGGCCCATTTATTTCTGTCTTACTTTGTTTCAAATTTTTTCTCTAGCTTTCAGTATACATGGCTTCCAATTTTTTGTGAGATCTATTTCTAAATATCTTATTGGGTTTTGTAGTATTGGAAATTACTTTCTTAAACTTAATAGTCTTTATTATGAATGTAGAAAACATGATTGATAATGGATTTGGTTTTTTATTGATATTTATTGAGCTCTACATTTTTCTCTGCTCCCCTCTCTGCCTCTCTGCTCTCCCCTTCAATCCTCCCCCAAGGTCCCCATGCTCATAATTTACTCAGGAGATCTTGTCTTTTTTTTCACTTTCTACTTCCCATGTAGATTAGATGTATGTAAGTCTCTCTTAGTGTCCTCATTGTTGTCTAAGTTCTCTGAGATTGTGGTTTGTAGGCTGGCTTTCTTTGCTTTATGTTTAAAAACCACCTATGAGTGAGTACATGTGATATTTGTCTTTCAGGGACTGGGTTAACTCACTCAAACTGATGTTTTCTAGCTTCATCCATTTGCCTGCATAATTCAAGCTGTCTTTTTTTTTTTCTGTGTAGTACTCCATTGTGTAAATGGACCACATTTTCCTTATCCATTCTTTGCTCATGGGACATTTAGGTTGTTTCCAGGCCCTGGCTATGACAAACAAAGCTGCTACAAACATAGTTGAGCACATGTCCTTGTGGCATGATTCAGCATCCTTTGAATATATACCGAAAAGCGATATTACTTGGTCTTGAGGAAGGTTGTTTCCTAATTTTCTGAGAAATCACCACACTGACATCCAAAGGGGTTGTACCAGCTTGCACTCCCACCAGCAAGGCGGAAGTGTTCCCTTTTCCCCACAACCTCTCCAGCATAAGTTGTCATCAGTGTGTTTGATTTGGGCCATTTTTACAGGTATAAGATGGAATCTCAGAGTTGTTTTGATTTGCATTTCTCTGGTGACTAAGGATGTTGAACCTTTCCTTAAGTGTCTTTCAGCCATTTTAGATTCCTCTGTTGAGAGTTCTCTGTTTAGGTCTGTACTCCTTTTTTTTTTTTATTGGATTATGTGATCTTTTGGTGTCCAATTTCGTGATTTCTTTGTATATTTTGGAGATCAGACCTCTGTCTAATGTGAGGTTGGTGAAGATCTTTTCCCATTCTGTAGGCTGTCGTTTTGTCTTGTTGACCATATCCTTTGCTTTACAGAAGCTTTTCAGTTTCAGGAGGTCCCATTTATTAATTGTTTCTCTCAGTGTCTGTGTTGCTGGGGTTATATTTAGGAAGTGGTTAACTGTGTCAATGCATTCAAGTGTACTTCCCACTTTCTCTTCTATAAGGTTCAGTGTGACTGGCTTTATGTTGAGGTCTTTGATCCAATTGGACTTGAGTTTTGTGGATGGTGATAGATATGAGTCTATTTTCATTCTTCTATATGTTGATATCCAGTTATGCCAGCACCTCTTGTTAAATATGCCTTCTCTTTTCCATTTGATATTTTTTGCTTCTTTATCAAAGATCAGGTGTTCAAAGATGTGTTGATTCAGTTCCATTGGTCCTCCTGTCTGTTCTTATGCCAATACCTTGTGTAAACTTTTAA